ATCGACAAATTTCTAATTACCTACGAAGAGTATAGAAAAAAAAAAAACTTTAAAAAACGATCGATGTATCAGAAGAAAGAGTGTAGTCAGGTTTTTGTAATATCTAAACGCATTCTAATGAGTAGGTCTCATTTTGTTTTCGAAAAAGCAGAAGTTAAATTTTCAACAAGTTAAAATATTTATTTAAAGAAATGAAAGTTCATGCATCTTTAAAACATAATATCAAAACAAAAAGAAAAAGTTTGTAGAAAAGACTTCTACTCATATCTTATGTTATATAGATGCCGAACTTTCATTTTTCTTAAATAAATATTTTAACTTGTTAAAGATTTAACTTATGGTTTTTCGAAAACAAAATATGACCTACTCATTGGAATATATTGAGATATTGAGAAAAAGCACGAACGTGTATTGTCTATCATCAAATTAATAAAATTAGATGAATGGTCAAGTTACAAGTAAGACGAAGATGATTCTTGAATATTAAACCTTTTTTTCAAGTAGAGAATCGTTTTGCGATAGATGAAATAATAAAAAATTATGATATTAACGTCAACGAATCACTATTTATGACATTTACAATTCGAAGTTTAAACGACAAGAGCATAATATTACTTTATGACATACAAAATCATTTTTTGTAATAAACGCGTAATTTGGTCAATATATCATCGTTTAAACGATGTGACATTAAACATCGTTTTAACGGCAGAACAGCGTTTCCTCAACTAACTGGGTGATTCATCATAAGTTTCTTTTCGTAGTTATGTACCGTGTAAATTATGTCTATCATATGAATAAATTTATCCTATTTCGGTTTAGCGAAACATCTTTTGTTTTTTCTTTGAAGTGTAACCAATTGGATCATTAAAATTCACCGTACAGAATCATCAGACATACAAGAAGTCAAGATTACCTCGGAACAAAAAATTAAACAATAATGATACATCAAAATGAATTGCTACCTTCCATGAAAATTTACTCGACGAATGTGAATGGTGGTTCTTCGTGGATAATAAGCTTTGTATTTATTATTGAATATAATACGCAGAGATCGTCATCGATGTCAGAACATGTGAAACATTAATTCTTTGCTCAACGACAAGAGCTTCCAAGTTAAGATTCAATTTTATCACTCGAACTATATGAAAACATTAAATTTAACAATGAAATAATATAGTCTTGATTTTCTTTTGATGATCTATGTCTACATGTGAATATCTTGCACTATAAATCATGTTCAACAGTGCACTTAAAATTAGGCTTCATCACTTGCAAAAAATTCACATCTAGAAGATCATCATCGAAAAAAATTCTCAAAATATAATAAAACTGAATTTTGTTGAAAAAATTAGAAGCTTTACTTTATAATATTGAAAAAGATATGTTCGTGATGCATTATTATATATATATACTATTACAAATATGTAATTGGATATATACATATAAATATATGATCTATACTTATATTTTGTTCTTTCCTACTGAAAATAAATCCTTCAACGTGTTGATAAAAGCAGTGAGCAACTTTCAAAAAAAAATCAACCAAATATTTTTTTTTAATGTTTCTCTCGTATACGTATCCACCACAGCACCAATTACGATTACCGAAATCATTCGGTAAGTTGTAGCTTTTTATTAGTACAGTAAAAATGCTGATATAGGTTATATAGAGAACTAAAGAACAAGAGAAATTTATCCTACATCAAATTGTGATCGAAGACAATTATTTATTTTAGGAATCAGTAGTAAAATTCATCAATGTCTATGCTACAAATGTGAGAGTAGTACTCGTCGTTATTATCAAGGAATGCGCTTCTTTAATCACCATTTATTTCGAACTTGTCTTATTATACTTTTTTTATTTTATATTTTTGTCTATTATCATCATTATTCCTGTTTAACAGTGCATTCAAATGTATCATCACAGTCTACAATTCGTATTATGTACGTTGTTCGAACAGTTTCAAAATACTATTCAACTCGTCTTATCTATGCCCTTGAAACATGGATTCCACTTGTTCATGAAAATGTCTTTTTCGTTAGTGATACTTTGCTACCAAATGTCACTCAAACTCATATTATTCCTACAGAAATAACATGTGGTCCTAGTTCACATTCAGTACGATCTTTATGTTGTCAAACAATTCATGATTTTATTCTCTATCGTTGTCATGCATCTCATTATGATTGGTTTTGTCATTTCGATGATGATCAATATGTTCATGTAAATAATCTTCGTGAATATTTGTCTACATTTGATCATCATCTTCCTTATTATATTGGACGTAATTCATGGAATAATACATTTAAACGAAAAAAAGATCCTTATCAACGTCATTTTTGGTTTGCAACATTTGGTGCTGGAGTTTGTCTATCGAAACGTATTCTTGGTTTGCTTGAACCTTATACACGTACTGTTTCACAATTTGTTAATGGATGTATTCGTGAATATTATCCTGATGACATTTATCTCGGCTTTCTCATTAGTAATTATCTCAATGTGTCATTGACGAAAAATCATCGCTTTCATTCTCATCTAGAACGTTCGTTATTCAAAGACAAACAATCCTTTATTGAAATGTTCCATCAACAAGTTACATTCGGATTTGAAGTGCCATATGCAGTGCCTCGATTTCTTCCACATCTATTCCCTATAAATATCGATCGATTTCGTATACGTACACTTCATTGTCTTCTCTACTCTCAACTAGAAGATTGTCAAATAAGAATACAAAAGTATCTTTTTAATATGCCAAAATGAAGCATGGTTCTTTTTTTAACAATCGTTGATGTAGTAACAACAGAAGGAACAAATGCAAGTTTTGAAAAAGTGATGGAGTTGATTGTGCTTCAATATCAAAACGCGATTGGTGGGGTAACGAATATTTCTAGCTGAATATGTGTGTACTATTTCATTGAGAGAGGTAACTTTTTGTTAAAATGCCAACCCATTCAGTTGATGTGTTCTGTATGGGTACAGTAATTTTGTAAATTTTCTCATAATTAAACTACTGTAATACGTTTTGTTCTCTCTGATATGAAGAAAACAAGTGATTTAAAAATTCGATTGGAATTTAGTGAAGACGCTATAACGAGGTATTTCAATATAGCTCAGAAATCTCTTCACATTGAGTCTGGACAGTTTAATTTCTATTAATTAAGAGTAAGAGTCAAGATGAAATAAAAATACCGTAATCTAGATTTTGAGCCTGTTAAAAATCTCTTCATATGACTAGTAATCCTCTATTTATGAGAAACCAAAAGATAAAGACAATTACAGTTACTATATTTCTAGCAGTAGAAGAAACTATACTGTTAAAGAGCAGATTTTGATATCTAAGTAAAAACGTAAAACTTATATAGTTATGAGATTTGCTAAGCATCTTTCATGTGCTGATAATTTTGTACGAAACTTTATATGCTTTGTCATTCGATCGTACTAATCAATGTTTGCTTTCGATACATTCTTGTTTCATGACTCTCATCCTTGAATTTCGTTCTCCGTGTATACGAGGCATATTTAAAACTTCAACGACTCTTGGATTCAATTACAATAAGCACAAACAAACACATATAAACTTTCACTATTGACTTTTATTCAAGTAACTCGTGTTGCTGTCGTTTAAGGAGATGCTTGTGTGTTGCTTCTTTCTTCAGAATTCAATATTTAAGTTGTCGCTGTTCGTTTTTCTTTTGCATCATATTCTGATGTTATTGTTTTTACCAGCTACATAGTTTATATCATTTACAATCTATTTTTCACATAATTATCGATGAATGTTAAAGTGTGTAATAAGAAAAGTGAATCCAGCCCATAGATTGTAACAGAATTGCCTATTGGTGTTATCTAAGTTCGAACTCCAGTCAACACTCATTTTCTGTTCATTCATTTTGATTGAGGAATAATAGCTATTTTACCATCTTTTATCCGAATGTAGCAGTTATTGTGAAATAATAATGTAAGTCAATTTCTATTCAGTCAGCATATATTTATTTTTGTCATCTAAATCCAGAGCTATTTATGATCTCATGAGGTAACCTTTTCAACTATGAAATCGCTTTCAAGTCATAAATATGTGCATAATCTAGATCCTAATGAGCTATGATTATCCTGAAAAGGATTCGTGCCGCTAGCTTATTGCTTCCGAGATATTGCATTTACACGACACTTTTAAACAGAAGGATGTGGTCCCTTTCAGGAATATTAGAAAAACTAAGTTTCGAATTTTGACTTGAAACTTTGCACAGAGAAAGGTCTCAATGGGAATAGTTTATTGTGAAAGTTTCAGACATTTTGATTGGTACTAGTCTGAAGTAAGAACATCGGAATCCGCCAGTGTATATGAGCGATGTACACGCATACTTTTACCATGGCTGTATCTTAAGATAGGAACAAGCAAAAGGTCTAAAAATTTCACAATAAACTATTCTCATCGAGACCTTTCTCCATGCAAAGTTTCGAGTCAAAATTTCATACTCGGGTTTTCTAATGTTCCTGAGAGGAACCACTGCTTTCTGTTTAAAAATGCCGTGAAAATACAATATCTCGGCAACACGAACTATTTACAGGGTATTCATAGTTCATTAGGATCTACATTATGCACGTACTCACGACTTGAACACGATTTGACAGTTGAAAAAGGTTGCCTAGTGAGACTGATAGTTACACTTAAAAATCATCAAGAATATAAATATTTCTTGAAAAAGACAATTCATAAGTACATAGCAGGTATTAAACTATTGTGTATACAATTCTAGACATGCGTATCTATTTTGTACAACATCCACTATTTATTTGTCTTCGACTTATATCCAAGCGAAGTACTCGTTTATGTTGCATATTTTTATTCGTTATCAGTTGTACAGTTTGGTTATTTTTCTTTGTTAAAATAACACCAATATATACCTCACATTCTGATACTTTACATTCATTTTCGTTTCACAACTTATTAGATGACTGCATGTTGGATGATACACCATGTTTTCCTGATATTGAACAAGCAATCAATCGTTATTTTTCTAAATTAAAAAATCGATATTCAATGTTGTTAACATATCATCCAACAATCGATTGTGAACATGGTCGTTATTTATTATTGAATAGTGCATTAGGATCTCGTATTATACATGGTACTGGATCAGAATTAATGTGGTATTTAGGTGTTCTTAATGTAGAATATAAATTAAATTTAACATTAGTACATTTAGATTGGACTGCAGAACATTCGGGTGATGAAAAAAATACTGATAGAGAAAAATATTGGCAGTTTTTCGATTGGGAAATTCCTTATTCAGCATATCATACATGTCCAAAAAATTCATCTATTAAACAAAATATATTTCAATATAATTTAATAGTGAATCAAACATTTGATCAACATCATAATGGTAAACAATCATTTACAATTAAGTCTTATTTTCAAACAAGATTTAATCATTTCATAGATAATCTTCAAAAACATAGTAACAAATCAAATAATAATATTGGTTTTACATTTTATTCTAGTCAAACTTTTACTATCACATCATCACTCATGGAAATGGGTATCGTTTTTGAAATTCGATGGTGGTTACAACATCGAAAATTATACAATATACATACTGGTGTTTGGTCAGGTATTCCTATTTCGTCTAATTATCAACCAATTGATTATTTTCAATATATTACACCAAACACGACCATTACTAACAACAGTATAACTATTTCTGAAACAGATAAGAATATTAACATCGATTTTTTTCAATGTTCATCAATTGATATGCATGATGTTTTATTGATTGGAGTACACATACGTCATGGTGATGTTGTAAAACGAGATAATCAAGGTCGTATAATATCAGGTGATCTATATCGTTATATAGCAAATTCAGCTTATGCACCACTATTAATTTTTATTATTAATGCATTACCTACTCATATAAAAAATAAGTATTTGATTACTATTTATAGTGAAGGTGTAATAGATGATTTTCATGATATACTCATTGATTTAAAACAAGTTTTACCTGAATCACGTTGTCATGTATCATTTTTTTTAAATGGTCGAACATCAGAAACATTTAATCGTTTACTACGTGATGATATTTTAATTAGTGCATTAAGTACATTTAGTATGGCTGCTGGTATATTTAATAGTCGACAATTAAAAATAGGACCATATCATAATCGAGCTAGAGTACATGGAATGAGAAATTATTTAAGTTTAGGTTTAAATACAAATCATACTAAATTTCAAATTACAGAAGAAAAACAGCAACTAATTAAACAAAGAATAGAATATGTATGGAAACAAAAACAAGCACAACAAAAAACTCAATTTCCATTATGGTTAGATAACTATTCCTCGAATTATCCAGAAGAATTTATGTTAATTTAATCATTATAGTAGTTATCTGACGATGTTATTGAGTATCAGGCGAATTTCTATCGATATTCCAATATGTCTCACAATCGATTCAAGAAATTAAAAAAAAATCATTTATTCAGTTGTTTAATTTCTCCAGAATTTAGCAGTACAAATATCTACCAATAATGATGTAATTACACAAAACAATGGCAAACATATATTCTATCCTGTTAAAAAAAGAAACAAAGATGGTCGACAGTAGTTGCTATACCATACTGAAAAAAGTTTCCAATTCGTTTAAAATCATAGATGTTAAGCGATAGTTATTTCTGTTGGAGAATTATTCGAAAAACAATTAGACTTCTTTTGTTTTTAAATGAATAATATTTATTTTAAGTCTGTCTAGTTTTATTAATAACATGTAATATCTATTGTCTTAAATATATTATTCGAGTCTTTCATTTAATTATTATAACGCAATATCTCTACACAACCATATCATTTCATTTTGTATTATTAGAAAAAGTATTTCAATAGTCGCTAACAAAACTGCTACATATATTGACATTGTAGCAATATAATGAATGTTGGCCTGAGTTCATAAGCCGTCTGATCAAAATAAACATGTGAAGAATACATTTCTTGTGTCTTCAAGTCAGTCAAATATCTTTCTAATAAATAGAGATATTGAACTTTGAAAGTTAGGAAAATTTATGTATACTTTTCGCTGTATTCAATCGCTAGGGTAAATTATAAGAACTTTCGACGTTTGATAGGAATATAATGTTCTCGAAAATGATACCAAAGATGAATTATCTGTACATTTTCGTTAAAATTGAATTAATACTCACAAAATACTAAACAAAACTGTCGTACATAGAGATAGTAATTTAAAGTAAGCTAAATGTATTAACAAGCTCCTAATTTTTTGTTTTACAATTCTATGAAGTAAAAATAATATTGACTCAATTGTTAAGTTCTCATACACTCACGCCCACACCCACTTTGAAAAAATAAGGTACCATACGGAATCAAATATAGCTTCGTGCTCGCTATGAAACTTGAAAAGTTTGGAACACGGTATGAGACTAAAAAATAGTTTCGCAAATGGTACAAAACTTAGAAAAAGTTTTCTATACTCTTGACAATCATTTTGAAACTATCTTGATTTTTCAAGAACCCTTTTTGAAGGTTTCGATATCGTTGCAAAAAATAAGCAATTTTATAAGTAAAAGTGTGATAATTAGAGTGCAAATGCTACAGTATTCGAAATCAATGATGTTTCCATGATGACGTTTTTATATGGATATGTCTAATTCCATCTAGCACCATCTTGAGGCATGTAATTCAAATCTTCTCTACCATTGTCCATATCAACCCAACAATAATCATTATTGGATAAAACAAAATAGATTTGAAAATTTTTCAATCTCGATTGGTTTTCTAATACTCTATCAATAAATTGACATAAATCACGATAACTACAGTATATTGACTTGATCGCCCAATTAAACGAATAATATTCCATATCATCTATTGTATTTATCGTACCGAGTCTGGCACTGACAAATTTAACTTTATTTGTCGGAGCCAATGAGTATTGTCTGGCTAATTCTTCGCCATATATTTTACTGATGGAATATGCTTCACGCAATGGGTCTCTACGGCTTGGTATCGGTGAATCATTGATTGTTATCTTTTTTAAAGGTTGCAACGGTTTAATATTTTTTGCTAGTAATGAATAGGGTTCATTTTCTAAATAGCCAAAAATAACCATTATTGAACTGCCATAAATAATCAGTTCAACATGTTCTTGTTTTGTTGCTATATCAAATAGAATTCTAGTACCATCGCAGTTAACACGATTAATTTCGTCAACCGTTTCCATTTCTAAAACTGCCGCTAAATGAATAATAATATTGATTTGATTATCTACGATAATATGTAAAAGTTTATCTCGATCAGTAATATCACATATATAAAATTTTTCCTTCGATGGCAATATCGGTTGTTGTTCTTTTGATGTTTGTATATTTTCAATTTGATAGCGTATTGATAATCCGATATGTTTATCGATACCATAAATATCATAGTTGGGATTTTTTGATAGATGTTCGATTAGTATACCACCGACGAGACCGGATACACCAGTA